AAGGTGTCACCAAGATGGGGGCAGTGGGGTGTCACCCCCCCAGTGTCTTGTTTTGGGGGGGGATAAAAAGATGGGGGACAATGTGGTGGCACCATTTTGGTGGCAACGTGGTGGTGGAGAACGGAGGGGTTTTGGGGTTTTTTGGGGGGGTTTTGGGGTTTTTTTGGGAGGGGGAGGTGACAGAAGTGTCACCAAGGCGGGGGGAGGTGACTCACGGTGTCCTCCTCCTGGTTGTCCCCTCGTTGCCAGACGATGGCTTCTCTCTGGAGCTCCTTGCGGTAGAGGTTGGTGCGCTCCGAGAGGCTGGCGCGACGTCCCACCTTCCTGGGGGAGGATTTTTTGGGGGGACACACACAAAAAAAGTTGAGGTTTGGGGGGAAGGGACAACCTGGAGGTTGTCACCTGGAGGTGGTGGCACTCACCCGCGGCTGCCGGCACTGGAGGTGCGGCGCTGGAGGAGGGAATGGTGCTTCTCCTGGGACTTCTGGAGGGCGGCGTGTTTGTGTTTGAGGTCCAGCAGCTTGGCCCGCACCTCCTCGTCACCACACACGTCTGGGGGGACACGGGGGGGACGTGAGGTGGTGGCACCCGTGGGGTAAGGTCAGTAGAACCTCCCCCCGACCACCCCACCCAAGGGCAAGGTCAATGGTTGGAGGAGCAAGCTCAACACAGCTCCTGGAGAACCTCAGAACCTCACGGGAGAAGGTCAGTGGTTGGAGGAGCAACCTCAGAACCTCATGGAGAACCTCAGAACCCCACGGAGAACCTCAGAGCCCCATGGAGAACCTCAGAGCCCCATGGAGAACCTCAGAGCCCCATGGGAGAAGGTCAGTGATTGGAGGAGCAACCTCAGAACCCCATGGAGAACCTCAGAACCCCATGGGAGAAGGTCAGTGGTTGGAGGAGCAACCTCAACACAGCTCCTGGAGAACCTCAGAACCCCATGGGGCGACCTCAGCACCCAATGGTCCAACCTCAGAACCCCATGGGGCAACCTCAGCACCCCATGAGACAACCCTAGCACCCCATGGGCCACCTCAACACCCAGTTGGATCACCTCAGAACCCCATGGACAACCTCAGCACCCCATGGGCCACCTCAGCACCCAGTTGGGCAACCTCAGAACCCAGTTGGGCAACCTCAGCACCCCATGGGCCACCTCAACACCCAGTTGGATCACCTCAGAACCCCATGGACAACCTCAGCACCCCATGGGCCACCTCAGCACCCAGTTGGGCAACCTCAGAACCCCATGAACAACCTCACCACTCAATGGTCCAACCTCAGAACCCCATCGGGCGACCTCAGAACCCCATGGGGCGCCCTCAGACCCCCATGGGGCGACCCTAGCACCCCATGGGCCCCCTCAGCACCCAGTTGGGCAACCTCAGAACCCCATGAACAACCTCAACACTCAATGGTCCAACCTCAGAACCTCACAGGACAACCTCAGCACCCAATGGTCCAACCTCAGAACCCCATGGACAACCTCAACACCCAGTTGGGCCACCTCACCCCCCCAAGACTCACCCAGGGGGGTCTCATCCAGCACCGATCTCCCGTCGAGGTCGGCGCCGTGAGCCACCAGCAGCTCCACCAGCGGCACCTGGAGATAGGGACACAGAAGGACACGCGGGTTGGGGGGCGGGTGATGACCATGGGGACGTGGCCATCACCTCTTCCTCCAGACACCTACCTGTCCCCAACAGGCAGCGGCGTGGAGGGGCTGCCACCCGTCCTCGTCCCCAACGTGGGTGCTGGCCCGGTGCTCCAGCAGAAGCTCGGCCGCCTCGGTGTAACCATTGGCTGCCGCGATGTGAAGCTACCAGAGATGGAAAGATGGAGGGACAGGGTTGGAGGAACAACCTCAGAACCTCATGGAGAACCTCAGAACCCCATGGGAGAAGGTCAGTGGTTGGAGGAGCAACCTCAGAACCTCCTGGAGAACCTCAGAACCCCATGGGAGAAGGTCAGTCGTTGGAGGAGCAACCTCAACACAGCTCCTGGAGAACCTCAGAACCCCATGGAGAACCTCAGAACCCCATGGAGAACCTCAGAACCCCATAGGAGAAGGTCAGTGGTTGGAGGAGCAACCTCAACACAGCTCCTGGAGAACCTCAGAACCCCATGGGAGAAGGTCAGTGGTTGGAGGAGCAACCTCAGAACCTCATGGAGGAGCTCTGGAGATGGAAAGGGAGGTGGGGACAAGGTTGGAGGAGGACACAACTCAACCGAGGTTGTCACCTTCCCTCCCCCTGGGTGGCACTTGTCCCTACCAAGGTGGCTCCGTGTCCTCGCTGGGCGTCCAGATCGGCTCCATCCTGGATGAGCTGATGGATCTCCTGCACCATCTCCCGCTCGGTGGCAGCGCGAGCCTCCTCGATCTTCTCCTGGGTGATACCTGAAGGTGACAAGATGGGTGACAAGAGAGGTGACACTGGGGTTCTTCTCCACCTCCACCCCACCACCTCCCGAGGTTGAAGCTCACCTTGCTCCGCCATGGCCGTCTCGATGCAATCCAAGGTCACCTCGTCCTCGCACAGGTCGTAGGGCATGTTCCCATCCGAGTTGACGGCCAGGAGGTCGGCCCCGCTGTTTTGGGGACAAAGAAGACCATGAGGGCCACCACGGTGAAGGTCATCCCCTCCCCCAGCTCCCTGGGGGAAGGGGGGGAAGGTGGTGGTACCGTTGGATGAGGAGTTGGACCAGGAGGAGGTGGCCACAGGTGGCGGCGGCGTGAAGGGGGGTCCAGAGCTCGCTGTCCCGGGCGTTGACGTCGGCGCCGCCGTCCAACAAGATCGTCACCACGTCACCGAAGTCATCGATGCAGCACTGGCAGGAGAAGATCGGTGACACCCTGGGGAACCCCCAAAAACCCACCCCAAACCAACCCAAAATCTACCGGAGATGGAGCTGGTGACATCCCAGTGGGGGCATCTCCAGGATTCCCACGTGTCCCTCAACCAGTGTGGGCTTCACCAGGACCCCCATGTATCCCCAACCGGTGACTCCCTGGTGGTGGCTTCACCAGGATCCCAACGTGTCCCCAACTGGTGACACCCCAGTGGTGGCTTCACCAGGATCCCAACGTGTCCCCAGGAGGTGACACCCCAATGTGGGCTTCACCAGGATCCCAACGTGTCCCCAACTGGTGACACCCACTGACACCTTCACTGGGATCCCAATGTGTCCCCAACTGGTGGTGGCTTCACCAGGATCCCAATGTGTCCCCAACTGGTGACACCTTCACCAAGATCCCAAAGTGTCCCCAACGGGTGGGGGCTTCACAGGGATCCCTGTGTCCCCAACTGGTGACACCCCAGTGGGGGCTTCACTTGGATCCCAACATGTCCCCAACTGGTGACACCCCAGTGACACCTTCACCAGGATCTCCACATGTCCCCAACCAGTGGGGGCTTCACCGGGATCCCAACATGTCCCCAACTGGTGACATCTCCGTGGGGGCTTCACTGGGATCCCCCATGGGACCTTCACTGTCACCAGGATCCCAACATGTCCCCAGCCGGTGACTCCCTGGTGGTGGCTTCACCAGGATCCCAATGTGTCCCCAACTGGTGACACCCTGGTGACACCTTCACCAGGACCCCAAGGTGTCCCCAGTTGGTGCCCCCCGTCCCGTCACCGCAGCCCCCACCTGGTGCAGCGCCGTGAGTCCGTCCTCGTTGCAGAGATCGGGGCTGATTCCGCTCGCCAGGAATTCCCGAACTTTTTTTGGGGGGGAAAATATAAAAAAAAGACAATTTTGACCCATTTTGGTGCCATCAGTGACGTCACACACCAACGCTCAGTGCGTGCGCTGGGTTTCATTTTTAGGGATATTTGGAGGGAAAAGGGGGGTTTAGGGTGGATTTTTAAGCCCCAAATTGTTGGATTTGGGGATTTTTGGGGAGGGGGTTGAAA